TCGTGACGACTGTAAGCACAACAAAATCCAAAAACCAACCTCTTCAGAACAAGTAGTTCCCAACCCCCCCAACTCATGCCCTGTCCCCTCTAAAAGTGCTGGTGAGTGCAGTATTTTTGCACCCCGAAATGCATAATAATGCACCGTCGCTGGCGCGACGTGCGCCTAGTAGTAGTAGTAGTAGTAGTAGTAGTAGTAGTAGTAGTGCTACTACTACTACTCCTACTACTACTACTACTACTACTACTACTAGCTCCCACCGCCACCAACACCGCCGACGCCACCGTCACCACGGTTGCTACCGCCATTGGTACCTTCACTTTGGTGGTGGTGGTGGTGGTGGAGAGCTGCAAACCACAAACGCTGCCAACATAGAAAAGATGACAAGGGTCAGGAAAGGTGAGGAAGGAAATTAACTTAACCCGAAGAGGTGGTAGGTCCGCAAATCTCAGTCCGCGGATTCCGCGGATCGCTCCGCTAACTGGGTCAGCAGATCCAGCCTTGCCTAGCTACTGAGATTTCCTGCAGCAACCTACTTGTGACCCCTCACTTGGCAAGGCGAAGCGTGTCGCCCAATACCAAGCCACGCATCCACAACGCGCAGCTCGGCTTGGCTCATCCCATCACAATCACAGCCAGACTGCAGGTGACCTTTGTAATGGTTTTGGATTTTTTCGTTTGCTCCACTGCGCCTGCCTTAGGTACATGCTCATGTACATTCGTGAGGAAGCGGCTGCTGCTTTCACAAAGTTACTGGGTTTGCTAAAATATGGACCCAGTGCATAAATTGATTGGAAGCAACACTGTCTCCGTGCCAGGATTTGAGCAGGCAAATCTTGACGCCGCCAGATCCCAAGGCCAGCACGTCCGGGCAGTCCAGATCAGACCCCTGTTGAGCTTTGGAAGTTCGCGCGTAGACATATGCGGCTACTTTTCCTTGCGCATTATAACCACACATGATGTGCACACTTAAATGCGGGCAGCACTGGATGCAGTAAACTGCTTAGAAGAACCGCCGCTGTGAGATGCAAACATTTGAAATCTTTGAACTGATGGGGCAGGTTGTGAATCCAAAGATGGTGGATCGCTGTGACAGAGAGGCTGCCTGCTTTCACGTGGAGCAATTATGACCCATTTCGTGCAGGCGCCAGCCAACGGCGTAGGCAAAAAGCATGGCTCGTCTTCGGCCCGCAAACCCTCGTGTGAACAGTCAAAGGCATAGTTCAGTTTGGAGCACAAGACATACATTGGGAACTAAGTCCGAGGAACGGAAAGGAACTGTGTAAATGATTTGTATGACCTTGGAGCCGGGGCGTGTGCAAACCCGATCCAGCAAGTCAGGTCAAAGCTTGAATGCAACTTGCCTTGTAAAATTCTCCACGCACACCAGCAAGGCAATCGCCATGTCATCAGCCTTTGGACAGACAAGAAGCCAAAAACCTTACCCTTGACGCAGACTAGCAGGAGACTTGCGACAATGTTCTGGAGTGTGGAGATTTGGTTTACAGAGCTGCATACGAAAATTGTTTCCAGATGTTTCCAGTTTTTCCAGGGGCCGGGCAGGGTATTCCTGTCTTCTTATTCTTTTAAGCCGGCTGCGCGGCCGAATTTCATGGCATCCGCCAAGTCACCGTAGTCTGGATTTCTGGAGTGTGCTTTCCATTTTCACTCCTGCATGCTGCGAATAAAGCACCACCTTCTTTGATACATATTTTCCCTTTTCTGCTGCCTTTGGACGAAGTCCGCCACTGCTGCAGCCAAAATGTCTGCTGCTCCTCCTTTCCAGTTGCCTTCGGGCGAATCCCGTCATTCTCTCAGCCAAAAAACGCTTTTCTCCTCTCCCAGTTGCCTTGAGGCGAGCTGCAGTCGAGTTCCGCCAATGCCGCAGTTGAAGGATTCTGTTTCGGAAACGCTCCAAACAAGAAAACCAAACTCTTGGACTCTGGGATTTACTTATTTGCCTTCGTTTCAGGGTCCTGGCCAACAGTTGGGGCATTTGGGGTCGTAGTTTGGGGCTGAGACTGTTATGGAGCAAGGTTTCAGCCCTGTGGCAGTCTGCAAGCCAGTATCCGCCATTCTTCATTGCTCCATTGCGATTCTTGCGCAGGTCCGCCTGGCAGAGCAGCGCCGAAGGGAAAAAGTTGAGCAGCAAACCAAAATCAGGACTCTCGGACTCTCGGTGCCGACTTGTGGGATGAGGCATGTGCCAAAGATGCCAAAGCCCATCAGGATCAAATTGGTGACTGAAGCCAACCTGTGCCAGATGACCGGCTTTTGGGACCACACGCAAGTCCCGTGCGACTCTGGGCAGTGTGCTTTTCAGATCTTCTAAGTGATGTGCCAGTCACGCCCCTGACGGTCCGTTTTTGAACATCTTTAAGATGTTTAAGTTCATGGCATCGAAGCTGGCTTGGGAGTTCTCCATGCGAAGCGAACCTCATTTCTTGGAGCAGTGTATCTGTATCAGCCCTGGGGTCACACGAAGTTTTGGATGCAGACATGAAGAAGTAGTGTTTCTCACGCGGGATCTTCTTGACGCCCTCCCTTCCCTGCAGAGATCTTATCTTGGAGCTATGATTATGATGATGATGTCGCATGACAGCGTTGTAGCGTCAGCTGGCCTTCCTGTTCTTTCCGATAGCACCCTTTCTCCAATCAGCTATGTGCTCTCGGACTTGAAGAAGGTCTGGCTGACTTTTGCTTACTTGGCATTAAGGGCAATCTTTAAATCGTGCTTTCACAGAGAACCCCAGTCCGCATCAGAGATGTCAGAGCGCATAGGGCACGGCAGCGTAAACAGAGCTTGTGAAGAAACTCTGGCCGAGACAGGCCTAACTCAGAGTGCCAGAACGCTTGTGCAACTGACGGGTCATCATTGATCCGGTTGGTGTGGAAAGCTAGCATGGACTCTCATGCAATTGGCTCTGTGATTCAGAAGGCATCAAAGTCTAGAACTAGACTTGTCAACAGCAAGCAGAGGTACAAGCAAATGTACAAGTTCGGACGGGATAGCCCCGTGAAGGAGAAGTACAACTGGGCAGATGCATAGGTGACTTGGCATTCGGAGAAGCTCGCTTGAGTATTGCAGGACTTCATAGAGCAACTTAGCCAAGAAGCCGGCATTGACCAGAGACTGGGCATGAAGATTGAGCAAGATTGAGCGAGCAAGCCCAGTCCCGGCAGCATGGTGATGCTTTGCACATTTTGAAATTACTGGTCCCCGGTTTGAGTAAGGAATCACTTGGCTCCGTTCGTGCTGCAGTGCGGGGCCTTGCGTTCAAAGCATCCCTGACAATCTCACTTGACACTGAATGCCAGTCTGGGGTCCTGGCACGAGGTATCGCACCTCCCCGCGCCAAATCAGATTCGGACACATGTCCCTCAACAGTTCGTTCAAGCTGAGAACTTAGCACGCCCTGAGCTGGCTGTCAGATCTAGTGGTGATTTATGTTTCCTGATGCAGGTCACACATTCCTCCGTACGGTGCTCCTCACTTTGACGTGGGTGATCCTAGCCTCCTCGTTCTCGTCATCATGTCAAGAGGTTACAGCGTGCAAGCCCCAGCAGCTCATCAGATATGTCAACCTAGCTTTATCTCCGCCTGCGACCAAGTTGCATAGCCTCAGATGGAGCAGAGAGGCGGGCAAGACGTGTGCAGCAGACAGCGTTGCACGTACTCATACTCTGTACATCTTTGTACCTGAACATACCTGCACACTCCTGGAACAGGGACGGAGTTTCTTGCTGCTTCCGCATGTCACGCATCATGGCCAAAATTGAGGGCTGGGCAGCCATCTCGCGACATAGAAAGCGTCAAATAAAATCCACTCGCCGTGAGCAGATGTGGCATCATGTCGGCGTCAAAGCGCGCCCTTTCAAATTTCATGCTAGCGCACAGGGCACGCAAGTTCCCGTAGGGCAGGGTCATGCCCAGCACTGCAGGGACTGAGAGGAATGGAGCAACCTCTGGGCTTCCCAACCTTGCAGGGGACACGCAAGCACGCACTGTGTTGCTTATGCCTGGTGCATGCATGGGGCTCAGGCCTCAATCCAAAGAAATAAGCTGGTTGCAACAGATACAACAGCGACAGCGCCCAGACAAAGTCAATCCAGCAGTTCGTTGTTGCGACTGCCACTAACTTCGAGGCAGATGGTGAAGTGATGTGGCATGATGTGGTTTTCGCCCAGCAAGCAGTCTGGTCGCGCAGTAGAGAATGCGGCATGCGAGCAATGTGCAGTACTGGCAAATTCAGCCCGGCCGCAAGAAGGGGCACCACTTCAATCCAGGGAGTGTGGAGGTGCGACGCAAGTCTTTGCGCCAGCAGTGCAATGTGCGCTTAGCGAGTTCGCCTCCTTCCCCGTCACGAAAGCAATTTTGACAAGCACCTACGTGACTGATGTGCAGCATTGTGCAGCGAACAGGATGCGAAGCCTGACGACCTGTCAACATGGGATGAGGAGAAGGTGCGCGGAATGCATCAGACAACTCGTGCGAGTCTCTTGTTCGTGAGGTCACCATGCTTGTGGTAAAGTACTTCTGCGCACAGACAAAAAGGCGACAGTCATGCAGGCAAGATGCGGGGCTTCAGTCGCGTTTGAACAGGATCATCACCCTTGGCTGCTACTACTTGCCTAGCCAAAATACGAAGATGCCTCAGATGGCGGCAACATGTTGCCCGGAACTCCAGTTTTCATCGGGGCTTACTGAGGTTGCTGAGCATGGTCACAGATGGGTGGGTGGCACACAAGTTGCAGAGCCACATAAACAGCAAGCAGGCGCAACTGGAAATCCAACTTGGAGTAGATAGTCCTCCGCATTTCACCTTGGAGGTAGCGCAACCTCCAGCGGATGCAGATGTGTGGGCATGCTGGGAGGACATGGGCACTGTTGATGGTTGACTATGAATATTCAGAGATGATGCTCAGGGCTTGCAAAGGCATGCAAAGATTGCAAAGGGTGAGCCGCCGTGGAATCGAGGAGTTTAGCGAGCGTGATCTGCAGTTGCGAAACACCAGAAGAGCTGCTGCCTCCTTATGGCACGTGCTGCACACGCTCATCTTATGTTTTTGGGATTCCTGTACTCAGGTGAAGCTGGAGCAGCTTTTCTCGGGAGATGCCATCATATGGCAGAAGGCTGTGTGACCAGTTGGCTGCAAAAGCACAACCTGCGTTTGGTTGTTGCATGGTCGCTTGATGTCGCTTGCAGATGCGCGCAGATGACGAGAGAGAGGTGGCCGCACAATCTACAGACTGCATCAAGGATGAATGCCTGACGGAAAGTAGCAGTAGCAGACTCATGGCCACTTGCACAGGGAGACCCGGTTAAACATTAATGTAGTGAAATGCCGCTGGTTGCATTGCACATGGACAGGTGCAGATGGATACTGACAGCCCACCAGTGTGCCCCGCTCAGAGCCCATGCGTTGAGAGACGCGGGTTTAATCAGTTTAATTGTTCGACCCCGAGGTATCCAATTCTGACAGTGGCAGATTTGTCTGCCCACCAGGCCAGGAGTGTTGCGCAAATGCATCATGCCGGAGGTGCGCAGAACGCACCACAAAACCGAAGTGCAAAGTACTGAGTACGGCTTTCGCGTCAGATATGCACGGTTGTTGCACCCTTGCCATTGCGTGGCCGGCTCCATGCCATGACCGATGCAGGATTCCTTGACACACATCCTGCTTGCCAAGCACTCATGGCAGGCGAACTCCGTTGATGTGACGGTGTTGCTACATGACAGCAAACAACCTCTTTGTGTGGATGGGATGGCTACGGCCTCTGTTATTCGATGAATGCTCAGCAAAGAGCATTTTGATTGCAACTACTCTGAGGTGGCTAATGGGCACTGGGGGCCCGCCGGACATGTTTTCTGCTGTGTTCTGTGTAAGGAAAGTCTGTGCGCAGTCATGGCTGTCAGGCCTATCAGGCCGCAATCAGCCAAATGCTCAGACGATCTCAGATCCTACCGCGCTACAATAGAAAAAAACGTGTGCCTCGGTTTCCAAAGTTTCCAATTTTTGTCCAGGAGCCGGAAGTCACGACCAGAGAGGAACGCCCTGAGGCCCAGCTCGAAATCCAAGTTTCTGTGGTGTGCATGGTGTGCCTCAGAACCGTTGGAGGACGCTGCTCTTTTGCTATGCCCAGCAAAGTTCAGTCGTGCAGAGGAGATTGCCTCGTGCTGTTGGAGGGTAAATTATGGTATTTTCATACCGGCACGCCTGCATCAGGAGAAGGACTTCAAGATGGACCTTAGATGGCAGGGAACACAGACGTTACTTGTGCAAGTTCATCTTTTTCGGGCGTCAAATATTTCAGCCTTGAACAATCTAATATAGCTGCATGGTCCGCTGCATTCAGTGGACAGGGATATGCCGGAAACTTTCTATGTTTGGAAGTTGGCTTTCCACTTACACAACCCTCTCTAGCCAGTACGATTTGGCAGCTCTCTTATGCAGAGTAGGAAGGGCGTAACGCAGCTCCTGTAGTCTGCCGAGGAGTGTTCAGCACGTCAACAATACAATTTGTCAATCGTCCGGAGCTCAGATGCATGGGCGCGCGCATTGTCAGCGCAAGTAATGCAGTGGGGGTTTCACCAAATCCCCCCCAAGCGTGCCCGGGAAAAGAGCCTCTGAAAACCTCTGAATCACAAGAATGAACTGGGTCTCTGCGTGCCTGAACTCGCCCTCTTGTAGGGACAGCCGCCAGCCTTCATGAATTGCTTGGCTTCTGGATTTGAAGGCAGTTTCGTGAGGGATTGCTTAGGAATTTCCAGGCGGGAGGCTTTTCTGGGCTGGTTAGATGCAAGAATGCACACGGTTCTGAAAGGCTTGCTTAGCTTGCTATTGCCGAAGGAAAATACAGGAGAAACGAACAAGTCTGTTGGTTGCCGCTGAGGCAATGAGTCAAACATAGTCAAACAATTATAAGAGCCGTTCTTGAGGACAAGTTCCTGGCCCAAACAGACTCAGTTTTCACACCCACAGTATGAAATGTAAAAGGGAGGTCCTGATGCTTCGATTTGCAGAGCATCCGTCATTAGTTAGCCCCTGATATAAAACATATACCCCGAATGTATCTACTCTGCTCCGTCTTTACATGTATTTAATATTAGGGCAGGGTATTGATCGTACGACCCAAACATTAGGGGGCATACAATAGGATCCTTTTGACACCTATTTCAAATCGAAGTAAAAGCGATTTAAATCGAAAAAACCGACTACATCGAATTAGAGACCGTAACAAATTCAATTCAGCCGAATTCAACGTAATCTAAAGCCGTTTAACATCTGATTTAATTAAAGCCAATTTGAAATCAGTTCAAAATCGTAATCACATCAGTAAAAACCTGTTTAAAGCCAATTGAAGTCTAGTTAAAACTTATTCAATTGGAATTTGATAAATAACCATGTACTACTGCAATAAAACCAATTAAAATCGCATTGAGATGTTATATAACTTCCTTTATTCAACCCATTCAGCAACAAACAACACTCTGGAAATCAGGGAGATCCATAATCCTCAAGAGTCATGCTCGGGACCCCGACCTAATTCAGAAGATCCAAGCCCCAATTAACTTTAGCCTTGGCCCTTCGAAAAACAGTCTTCGGGACAGATTCCAGAATTTGGAATTCTGGGGGACCCGTATTTTATGTTAGGGGGCTTATTCTTAGGTGGAAGCGTTTATTTGGTGGAAGCTCAGGTTTGGACTCACTCCAAAGCCTGGAGAGAGTTCAATTTGGCTTTTCCATGCGCCCCCCGCGTGCACAAGTGAGGCTGGGTTGGGCAATCTGCAGTCTCTTTTAATGGCACATCAATGAGATTCTCTCTCACACACGTCCCCCTGGCACTTAGTCATGTTTCAGGAGCCGCTGAACGCACCGTCGCGTGATCAGGCAACTCTGAAGGCTTCGGTCATGCATGGTGACAGCGGCGTCAGACATGTTCTCGATTCTCTCGATTCTGGATCCTGCTGGAAGGAGCTGCAGAGGAATTTGTCTTATTTGTCTTCCACGTCCAAGCGGCAGTTGACCCTCCATGCTGTGGAGTTGCCGTTTCCCCAGTTCAGCGAGTTTTCTGGTTGCGTACTCTGAAGCAGGTCCGGATTCAGTTCAAAGGCTCGAGATTTAGATTTATGTGTACGTGATCTAGTCTTCTCGAGGATTCTGAGCATTGCGCAGCGTCTTCGGAGTTTGTACCGTGCCTTGCTTTCTGGTGTTGGCTTTGATGGTTTGATCGTCAAGGCCGACATGCCAACACTGATCCTGTACACATGTGCAGCAAGCCACATCGAGAAAAAAGGTTCACGCTGTTGGCAAAGTATGCATGTTGCCGGAGGTGTTACTCTATTAATCTAGAGAAGCGGATGAAGTGACCGCTGATACTGCAGCAGTAACCTACACATGAGGGTTTAGTTTAGGGTTTAGGGTTTAGGGGCACGCTCCGCTGATTGGCCGGAATTCGGCCCTATTTGCTATCAGCGCTGGCAGGAAACACCTTGGGAGTTCAAATGGATGCGTTCTGACCCTGATGATGCTGGCTGCGAGGGACATGGCTCTGAGGCGTCTTTCATCGCGTAGACGCCCACCCGGCCTGGCGGGGGACACAACTTGGAGAAGGCAGCCATGGTCCTGGCGCAGCTGGTTACCAGCTTGCGGCGAATCTACCTGCCCTGCTTTGGCAAATTCTCGTCCCCCGTCTGGTGGCTGCGAGTTTCGCGTCGCTGTTAGCATGTTGAGTTTGGCAGGCTTGGGTGCATGCAAATCATTCCTAAAGGTTTATGCTGCCGCCATTTTGGGTCCAAGCTGGGCGGTGGGCCAAACTTGCAGCAGCTTTTGCTTGACCCACCCATCCCACCCTGTACATAATTGAACCCGGCCTCCGGTGGAGCTACCCCCGGTTATGCAGGGCTTGCGCAGAGTTTGTGACGTCGCCAGGCGCATCCGATTTCCCCATAGGGTGGTTCACTAGTGGCGTGGAAGCCACAGGCGGAGTGCCACGTGTATCCTGAGTGTCAGGATGTGGCTGCTTGGGTGGCAGGAACCCAATGCATCATCCTAGTGGCAGCCTAGGTTGAACTGTGCGACTGGTGCCATCCTGGAGTGACAAAGGGAGATCCGGTGCGTGTGCATCGGTAGCATAGCACACTGAACCTTGGAATGTTAATTTGAGTTTTTGGACAAGGGTGCCAAGTGTGCAGACCTACGAGTGCTAAGTCGAGGTTGCCAGATGCTGGCCCTTGGTAACCCATTCGAGCTGTTCCCGGTCATTCCCGATCAAACTCTGAAACTACTTCGGTTTAGAAGCAGGCTTGTTAGGGCTGCTCTTGTTCTCTGGTGTCTTTACACTTTACACGACAGGCCTAAAGACATAAACATGAGAAGACAATTCAACAGCCAGCACTGCCACAAGTGTCGCCTTTGCTCCAAGCTTGGGAGAGCACGCGTCACTCAGGCCCTTCCAGCCTGGAGGGAGAGTCCTGGAGAAGGGCTTGTGCCCACTTTGCATTAGGCTCTCACCTGCTCGGCTGTGTTCTCACTACGGCATCTTGCACCACTTTTCAGAGCTCAAGACTGAAGACTGCCACGGCAGATTCTTTGATGATGCTGTTCGGGAAGTCGGCAGCGAGGTTATTTTTGTGCCCAATGCCACAGGCTAAGCATGTGGCATTCGATCCATTCGTGCAACGCAATTGGAGCTATCAGCTATCGTGTACTTTAACTTTCATGAGAAAAGCTTCAGGACGGCAACATCTCAGACGTGCTTTCAGAAGCGCAGGGGCTTTTGAAGCCTGAGCAGCTGGGCTGATAATGCTGGAATGGTTGTGTTTGCAGCTTGCATGCGCGGTCTGACTTGCTCAGGTGGGGCATTTCAGGTGGCTTGGTTGGATTTTTCGGTTTGTCAGCAGGAACTGTTATGTTTTCTGTGAACGACGGCTGGAAGCCGAATGAAACCGACAGGCTCCTTTTGGGAAGATACGACAGGCTTCTCGGGCATAGCAAGCATGGAAACTCAGGTCCCCTTCGTGCACTTGAAGTTTCGGAGAGCAGGTTGCACAAGCTGTACAGGCAGGCGGCTAAGCTGATTGAAGCTGAAAGTTTCGGACATGTGCGGACTCTACTCCCTTGGGCAGACCTATTTGGAAGGTGAAATGTGCATCGGCATCCGAATATCCGCGACAACAAGCAACCAGCAAATCGTGATTTCACCTCTATTTTGCTAGCATCAGGCGCTTGCTGAAAGACAAGGGCCGAGACTGATGCTATTGGATGTTGATGCTGACCTGCTTGCCAGACAACCTGCTCAAAAGCATACAATGAAACAAACAAAAGCAGTTGATGTGGTGTGACCGAGCCCATCTTTCATTTTGGTTGTAGACATACCCTGCTTGCAGGGTCTGTACCATGGCCAAATCCTTCACGGGGATACCCAACTGAGGCATTTTGTCTTTTGCACGCCAAACCTTCTGTGGACAGTTGCAAAAAGAGGTGTCCAGCTGCCAAAAAATGCCAAAAACCTCTATCAAGGCGGTGTGCACTTTGCGTTTGGCACGCACGCGCCCATCTGGGCTAGGCAGCATTGGTGTTCCGGCTTGGAGTATGGTATGGAACAGCGCCACAGGCATATTTGAAACGCGATTGCCTCTGTGCTGCAGGCCGCTAGACTTTCCTGGGCGATACAACATTGACCCAAGTCTAGGTACAAACTTGCAGCCAGCATGAGATCTTGGCTCCCAGGGCAGAATTGCTGACAGCGTCTTTTCTCAACTGCTTCTGCAAGCAAAGGCAGGTCCCAGTCTGTGCACATGATGCCGAGGGTGTTCTTGCTGAACGGCTGCCGCCAATGCCGCCAACCCTGGCAGCGGTGGCAGCCATTTGAGCGACTTTCGATAACCCTGCATCAACAACATCTCTGCGCCATGTCATGGATGCGAATATGCCGGGAGGCAGCGTGGACCATGGGAGCCCATGACAAGGGATCGAGGAGGAGCCCAAACGCCTGAACCAAGCGCGACTCTCGCCACGAAACATTGCCAGCGAATGAGAAGCAGGAATAAGTAGGAGCTTTCATTCGCAAGCCCGCCAGGAAACAAGATTCCTTGTTCCGCAGGCCCTGAACAAACCAACTCCCTCTTGCTCTTTAGAGCCCCAAATTGGATGCTTGTTTGACTGGGGCAAATCAATTGATTGGCTCCTCATGTGAGGAGTCCCCTGCTTTAAGCTGGAATATGGTGGTGCCTGTGCATCTGCATGGCAGCATTGGCAGCATAGCACTGAGGCCTGACCAGCCGGTCCGAGGGCTCGCTTGTTTCAGTCGCGTGCAGGACTTGTTGAAGTTGCCAATCGCGAATTTCAAGGCAGCCTTGGTAGCTTGAATCATCCGAGGCTAATATTTTTTACAACAGCGTTCGCATCGAGGCAGGGCTCTCTCATCTTGAAAGACGGATAGCAGGTGGCACGTGTTTGCACGTGGCGGAGCGGGGAAGCAACCGAGGCGGACCGTGAAAACCTTGGTACAGGACAGAGGCCGAGCCAGTCGAGTCAGGTCTCCTGCGCACTTGGGTTTTCCTGTTTGTGGCGGCGGCACAGGTTGATGGAGATCTTCCACTGTGACCGATCTAGCCAACAGGTTTCTGCTTTAACAGGGACAAGCGTTGTCACCTGAGTTCTTGCCATTGCGAGGCATTTGCAATGCCTTTGCTGATGACCGTCACCAACGCTGAGAAGCCAGCGACTGACTGCTTCCGTGGCGTAGTTCTCTGAATTCTCACTGCTATCACCGCTTATGCACTGCAGTCTGTGTCATTGCCTAAAAGTGACCAGCTGCCAGGTCAGGCTCCATAAAGCAGCGCTGTAAAGACAAGCTTCAGGCAGCTCGGCTGAAAAGTGTTGGGGAGTTTGAGTCAAAGACCCAAAAGGTGCCAGACCCGGAGTTCAAGTCCTGGCGGCTTGTGCGGTGCTCACGGACAGGGAGCAATCGCATTCACCTGAAGGTGGGCAATGCTTGACCCATGTTTCGGCTCTGAATGATGTTGACTCCCGAGTTCCAGTTGATGTTGAGACTGTCTAGAATGAAGATTCCATGTGAAGTATGTAAAGTAGACCACCTGACCGACTTATTCGAGCTTTGAGGAAGCTGTCCTGGATTGCTATGTGCTCCTCCTTCTACTGCAAGCGGATGTGATTTTGCCTTGTTCTGCCCGCATGCTTGCAGAAGCCCCGAGTACTTCATGCAAGCGTATGTTCGTATCATGTTTGACCATGATACGAAGACCATAGAAGACCCAACTTGCTGCCAAACTTACGCTTGCAAGAAGCGTTTAATTGTGGCAACTGCACTCTGCATGGGTGTCTCCCTGCTGCCTTGTCCTAGCGTGTGGAGGACGATGAACCCTGGGACGGAGAAGCTTCAGACCCTCGGCTTTGCCTGGAGCATGCGTGAGCCCAAGCAGCCATGAAAGACCAGCTGTATGTAGCACAGAAAACACGGGCAGGTGATGTAGTTCTTTCAGCTTCTGCAATCGTGAAGAATTTAGTAGCCACAGTCTGGATTGCAAGGGAAGGCACTGCGGTCATCCTTTCTTCTCTTTCATGCAACCGTTTTCATCTAGTCTTCATTTTCCTCGATCATTCTTCTCACATTGCCAACTAGAGACGTTCATTATTAAACTTCTGGAGAAGGAGTATGTTTCCAGTGAGAGTTGCTAGTTTGATCATCCTGTCCCTGTCGCGCCAATACGCTCGATACACTTGAAACTGTGCACTTGCTGTAGCTGCTCCCTCTCACCTGCATGTTGAAACCCTGAACTCTGAACCGTAGACGGTCCGCAGATCGTGCAACTCTCACCTGACAGCTGCGGTGCAGGCGTTGCCTCACATCTTCCTGCCACACGCCATGTATCCACAGTTCATCGACAACCGAAACAAGAAAAAAACAATGCCTCCTCAACACTGCGTGCGCTAGCATGGGCAGTGTACGATATCAACCCCACGCCCAACTAATGTACACAGAGGGGGAGGTTCTCCAACTACCCACCGGGAAACGTATTCAAGGGGGCTCCTGTTTTGATGACAAAGCTTGTATCTGCGGTGGGATGCTGTGTGGTCTTCTGGCGCGCAATGTTGTATGCGCGTTCCTTGGCCAGCTGAGAACGGCTACATTGGGTGTGTATATTTTTGGGTATGATGGAATAGATATTGGGGTATCTTCGGGGGTCTTTCCATAAGGCTCCGTAAGAGGTCCCAGAAAAGATAGATTATGTAGAGGGAGGGGGGGCTGCATACATTTGGCACCTGGGGTATGCCTAGCCTCACCACCCCGAACTTATGGTGGGGGTACACGGGCATGATTAGGGTATATGGGGCAAATTATGGGGGTGTACTGGGTCTCCCTGCCCTCACCACCCTGGACTTACACTGGGTATGCGGGCATGATTAGGGTTCAGGGGTATGTCGGGGGTGTATTAAGATGACAATCGCAGCGGAAACCACAAGGTTTTGCATCTGTTCCCGCTGGGAGAGGTGTCAATGCAGAAGCCAGATCATTCTCAATCGGGTCAGACAAACATCATCACCCCAAAATCCCATCATTCTAAAACCAGTCCGGTATGCATTTCTGGTGCCCTTAAGGGCACCCCAACTTAAGTGCGCCCCAAGGAGAAACGTATCAATAAGGGGCGGCTGGGACTTTCCCAGAATCAGTGCATGGATTCCAGCCACCTATAATACTAGTGAAATCACATACCACCTCAGGCAATGCGCAGTTTCCTGCAATCTTGTTATTCCCGACAGCTTATAATCTTGTAGGAAAATGCACGGGCTACTTTCAACAACCACACTCTTCCACAACAACCACACTCTTCCAGAACCAAACTCCATCTCGCCTTCGGTGTATGGCCACTGGTCTCTGGAATTGGAGGAAGGGCCTGCGCGACCAAAAATACGCCCATCTCGCACTCCGGAGCCTCATTTGCCCAAAGTGTAGAACGTCGCCGCGTCTGGAGCCTCGTTCTTGCAAAACGCAGATTTACGTCATTGGAGCATCTTTATTTGCTAGGTGCAGAACTGTCGGGTTCTTTGGGAGTCGTTCTCTCAAAATGCAAGACTGTTGCCGCTAAATTGGAGCTTTGCAAAGTGCAGAACCGTCGCCACTTCTGGTGCAGACCACCTGCAAAGTTGCTTGGAAATTGCATGGGAGCTTTTTTGGCTTGAGCGCTCTTGGACTGTGTTTGCTCTGTCTGGGAGTTCTCTTCGAGTGGTCTTAGAGTGGTTTTCTACTCCCGTGGCGGGGTCCTCACAGTCTTGAAATCGAGTGATCTTACAGGTGTCGTTGCGACTTAGATTGTTCTAGGATGGCGTGCTCTTAGAGTGTTCCTGGGGAGCCCTTCGCGGCGCTGCCTTACATTGTGTGGTGTCTACGCTAGCATAATGGATAGTTGTTCAAAGGAGTGGGCAACAGCAATACTTACAAATCGGAACATCATGTGTCATTTTCTTCAAGCAGAAGATCACAGAAAGAATGCACAGAATGAAAAAACTGGAGGCACAAAGACATGAACATTTCAGGAATCCTTCTCGGATAGCATATATAGAATAAGTCTAAGTCAATTCGTCTGGAAAGCTTTTTGCATAATGTGCACCGAAGAACAGCTGAAGAACACGATATAGCCCAGGTCACGCAACTGACATGTGAAACAGAGGAAAACACTTTTAGGAATGGCCGATGGGAAGCAGCGGATGAAGAAGACAACACCGAAATTAATCTTTTGCTTACTCATTTTTACACCGCAGCTTGTCCACATGCAATTTTGGCAGTGCTGCATTTGTCAGATGAATGAAGTGCATGCAGCCGCACGTAGCGTCCTCCAATACCGGTCCTTCCGCAATGGTCAACCTCGTTGCCTGGTAATGCTGCACAAAACCATGCTGAAGGTCCATCCCAACCCGATGAATGCCCTGTCGCGGCAGCCGGGGACTTGTATTTGCGCAGGTTATTGCCTGGCTGTCTTAATGCGATGCAAAATCATGATTGCAGATGAGAGCCCCTGGTGGCCCTTATTTAGATGAGGTCTCGCCACAACAAGCCATTGACAATCAAGGCATAGCAGGAGCGCTGCTGAGAGAATCTATTCTTGCCACATGGGCAGTTGAGGGGATCTGGCAGGCCATTGCGAGGACATAGAAAGCGACATCTCTCGCATCTTGTCAGCCTCCTCAGCCTGAATGTAGCGGAGTATGCGCGTGAAAGATGATCTTTACGGGTAGCCTCCTACTATGAGGAATGAAATCCTGGCAAATTATGCAAGTCAGGTCCTTTCCAGGCAGAGGTGGATGCATCCGTGCTCCTTCCAGCTGCCATCGTCATCCTTGGTGACTTGGGCGCTCCCAGAACAGCCAATGGGGTCGTGACGAGAAGCTTGACAACGTAGCGCAGGGCGCCGCATTGCGCAGCATTTGCTAGAGGCATGTCCTTGCATTCTCATCTCATATCAGAACGAATCTTGTTTGCAGGCCGCGCGAAGAATGTGCTAGTTACGATTAAGTTGTACTGTGCAAAGGCAGTCATTTATCGTGAGTAGTCGCCTAGTGTGGGTACGTGTAGATGTCCACGCTGACAGCTGCGCCATGCTGCGCTTCTGCAGCTTGGAGCCTTGGAGCCATCATTCAAGCACCTCAAAGAAGTGACATGGCATCAGCACCGCACAGATTGAATGTGCCGGACTACAACTACAGTACTCCCTACACTCACGGCCATTCAAGCACGAGTTGCCTAAGAGTTCGAGTTGAAAGACATTTAGCGGCGCTGTCGTCAGGAACCACAGGTGCCAGAAGCCAGTCTTGCATGCAGCGTCACAGCTGGTGCAGGCTCAGAGTGTTGTCAAAACACTCTTGTAGCAGACCTTGCGTGCAGCGTCAAGTCTTGCGCATGCGCAGAAAGTCCGTTGACAGGAAACCTCAACTTTTCCCGTCAGTCTGGCTCGGCCAGCTTGACTTATCTTGGCTTTCAATAGCTTTGGCAGCCATTTGGCTCCAGCATTCTCAGCTAACCTACGAGGCACGGGGAGGCCAGAAGCCCAAACCTCTGCAATGTCCGAACAGGCTTCTGGTGATTCTGGTCTTCACTTGCTCAGCGAAGGTTCTGGTCACAGAGATGAGATGCCTATACTTTCTTACAGTAGCGGTATTGCGCTCAGCATCCTTGAACGCAAGAGAGAGATCTGTATGTACTCGACTCTGCAAGTAACTCATCGCACAGCAAGCCTTCGGCAGCTCTGTCTGCAGTTGCAACCGATTGACAGCGCTGCACTCAAAGTGCCTCTTCAAATTTCGGCCCAAGCCGCCCATGTGCTCATTGAGTCTGAGAGGCACGCCTTGGGATGCAAGCTGCTATAAGCTGCTTATGCACCTGTGTTCTTCCAGATTTTGATCATCAACGCAACTACTCAAACATCCTACCTGGCCTTCAGGCGGACATGGGAAATTGTCAATGCGAAGGATGTCGCAAGGATGAGGTTCTTTGCACGGCTTGCTGGACTTCTTACTGGTAGTTACGAAAGCTTCCCAAGCTTTCGTCTGAGTCCAGCTTTGCTGATCTGTACCAAGGGGGTGTGGGGGTTAGGAAAGCCCAAAAGTGGTCAAATTTAGCCGTGTTTCGCGGGCCAGACCCCACGGCAGGAGGGTTTTTGGGAGGTTTCCTCGTGGGCCTCGAAAACGGGGGTGAAGAGGGGTCTGTCTCGATGCGGTCTCGAGGTGCCGTTTCGGGTGCCGTGGAGGCCGTTTGGGACGCGCCAGATGACAGGTTTTTGGGCACGTTGGAAGCCGTTCTGGGGCACGCGGAGGCGGTTCGGTTCGCGCTCCGCCGCTTCATGAAAAAATGCACGTGCTAGTATGCACCCTGCTTGAAAGCTTTCGTCCCCACGCGGACGCAAGTTGCAGAACCTTTTCTCTATCTGGCAGCCGTTGATGCTTTGCCAGTGACCCTGCTTAATCACGCCCCTTGTCACAGCTTGATTGAGGTGGGTGTCTTTGCTTTTAGAAGCACCTTTTTTGGCAGGGCATGCGCTTCGAACCGCGAGGGGCGGATGAGGCGCCAGGACGTGTGCAGAATTCTGATGCCTTCTGACCTTAGGCGACAATGTTGCTGAATAAAGCAGCTTTGTTCGCGATATCTTGCAATACTTGATGAGGCCAGGAAAGACCATGGGCTTGAGGGCAGTAAGAGTTGAAATTTGGAGATTTCATAGATTCTGGGAGGTGTTGTTTTCGGCCTCTCTGAGGGGCGTGCCGGGCTTCCAAGGGCTGGGGGACACTGCGATGCTCCGGCTGGGATGCACTGAGTTTGTGGGGCATCTTGAACTCGCGGGTGCTGTGGGTTGGACCTGCTAAGCAGAGACCTCACTGCGGCTTCCTTCAGGGCAGCTGGGTCAGGAGATCTCATCCCGCGCATGATGCAACAGGTAAGGGTGGTGGATGTAGTAGGTACTCTCAACCGCGAGTGCATAAGACCTGGGGCCTCAGCTATTACATAAGACCTAGTCACGCATCATAAGTTACGCAGGGCCCATCTGAAGGACGGTGGCATGCAGAGGCATTAGAAGCGTCGCAGTGTGGTGCCTGTTCGTATCGGATTGGAACAGGCGTTATTAGACTGTTTCCAGTTTCACACTGCGTCCATGGTCAGGTAAGCTTCGGAGGATCCGTGCAGGCAAGGACAAACCAACTCTCCGCATTATCGTCCACGTGCTGTTTTGAATGTGCCCCTTAGCAGTGGCCTGTCTAGTAATTTTCAGAGTCATTGCGTGGGAGAATGCTGCATGTCACACGCCGTAGCATTGTCGGGATGCAGTGCGGCCGATCTGGGTGCTACTTCCATTCCGTGCTTGTATGTGCTTGTGGAGAGGGTTGAGTGTCAGGGTTTGGTGCAGGGGGCCTTGATCCGCGCAGCTACGCGCCAAACTCGCCTACGTTTTTACGCGTTGGTTTGGAGTTTGTTGCTTGTTGTTCAGGCTTGAGGTTTAGGGTGGGGTGCAGAGGTAGACTGCTGAGGTTCAGGGCCTTTCGGTTTGGGTGGAATGCTGCTAGGTACGTGTAGCAGGCAGCGTTATCTACATGAAGGATTTCGATTGTAACTCGGCTTCCACTCAACTATTCTCCTACCCAGTGGTTTCGCTAAAGGTTGCGGGGGAGCTTCTGATCCTAGAGTGATCCGGTCCTTCTTGCTGAAACATAGGTGGACCCACGACCCTTTTTTTTCGGCAGGTGCAGTGATAAGGGTATTACCCACAGAGCAAAGCAGAACTGTAAAAGAAGGCTCCAACACATTCTCGTGTTACACTACCGTGCTGGTATTCAAAGTTGATAAGGCCTTCTTGTGAAAACTCTAGCGAATGTAAGACGGAATGATCTCTCAAACTCACAGTCTTACTTTCACAGGCACACGCATGAAGCTCATCAGATGGACCGGGCTTGTCGGATCTGTGCGAAACGAGGAAACATAGTGGAAGTCAAGTGGGAGTCTGGGCCAGAAGCTGTCGAGGGTTTGCTGCGACACATGGACTTTCTCAATCAGGTGCTGAGGGCATCTTGCACAGTCATGCAGCCGTGCCCCAACAGCAGGTTCCCAGTGCCCTCTCTGCCAAGCATCCTGCGGTGCCGGCGGAGATGCAGAAGCTGCAGGAGCGGCCTCAAGATGTCGTTTGTCAGGAAACCTAGCTCCCGTACTCAGATGCACGCTAGGTGTCAGTGTGACCTCCTAGGGCGGTTTGACAAGGATGCAGAACGCTCCCGCAGCAGAAGCGACTGGACCCCACCGATGCGTAAGATCACGCACGCAACTGTCTTGCAGGGCCTTTGGCAGACTCAGCATGATAGGCAGCTGATGGGCGGAGCGCTCGGTTTGTGAGTCATTGAATGAGCTCAGCATTTGTCTTGTACCAGAAGCAGTGGATTGAGGTGAAATTATTGGCTCGACTATGATTTGGGACCAGGAGTTCAATCATGAAAAATCGTCTTTAAAGGCGGGATACATGCTTCTTGCTTGCTTCACCTTTCAAAATGCAGGCAGTTGGTTTCGAGACTTCCGAGACACCCTGTGCCCACCAGATTTCACATAACCGTGCATTGTAAGGTCGTTTAAGTGATCGCCACAGGCACCGGTAAGGCCTGCAACCTTGAAGTATAAAATGGCTGCAGTGAGGGGACCAGAAGGGTAGCCTTTAATGCCGAGAGATCTAGCTCACTCTAACTGGCACATGTGGCACATCTCTACAACTGAAAGCGCTAGCGCGCCACGTGTCGCTACGCCTCGTGCAAACACACATTTTATGTTATCTTAGACTGTGCTGTAACTGCAGGATTGCTTGGGTTGTGCAAGCCTCCTTGCAGATCAATTCCACCAGAGCGTTCCTGTGGCCGCCTACCTCCTACTCACATCTACTGGACGCACGATCTCAGACCTCCCAAGTCAACCATCTTCGAGGGTGGGTACCTTTGACAGAAACTAACGTAGTTGCATCCTAGAACTCAGATATCATGTTGCGTGGTTGTAGCAGGTGCTAGCTAATGGGACGTACCAGATGGAGCTGATGGGCTCCCTTCACAAAGCCACGTTTGAGGCGGGATGTCATGCTGGCTAACTCAATAGGTTTCAAGCCCGATAAGTGTGAAGCGGATAAAGCGGATGCCCTTTGCAGTTTTTGTGGAGGAGCCTGGCTCCCTCAAGTGGAGCGATGGTGAAGTCTGGGTTAAAGTCAGATGAGTGAAATTGTTTAATGCAACTGTTACACCAGGCTGTGCCTGCAACAGAAACCCTCAAGCTGCGCCAGGATCTGTGTTTTGCACAATCTCGCCCAGCGCAAATTATGTGTCACCACTGTGCTGACTGCCCTGGAAGTTGCCCCAAACGTGAGCACTTCCGACTCGCAGCATGCCTCGTAGACGGGACCGATAGCCTAAGGCTGACACAAAATGAATGAAGTGCATGGAAGTGCCCATCTGATTGGTCGGTGCCATGCCTTTACATCACCACCAAGGCGCCCAGCAGCTTGGTGACCACTTCCTCAGGCAATGTGCTGCTTTTTTTAAAGTTTTCAGCTTCGGGGCATTGTGATTTTGCACTGGGGTTGCGGCTAGTGGGTATTAGTCGGCAAGATTGAGGGGCGAAGGTCTTTGTGACCTTTAGAGGCGTTGACTTTGACTGGACCTAGACACCGCTCATGTTATGAACCCCGCTTGCTCCTTTTCTTTTTCGATCCGGCAGGATTTGGTGAATCATGCTTGGAGCCGATGGAGTCGTATGGTTCCTATATGTCCCTGTGACTCTTTGCCCTGTAAAGCCCTGAAAGGGGATCTAGCCACCCTCGCATTTGGCCTTTGCTCACTCTTCTTGAAACTTAGAATTAGAATCATCCAACGTCTCCTGGACGTGTTGGTCGAATATGCTCTCATTCCCACCCCTTCAACATCTATGTCATCCGAATCGCAAATCATTATGAAGTTGCAACAGACATCGACGTAATAGTGGTGAATGACGAGATAATCACCTGCCAACGTCTGCGAGATTGCCCGAGGCGGACATCTTGAGAATTGAAGCGGTGTCTCACCTCTCGCTGTTGGGACTATTCAATCATTGAGATGTGCAAGCAGCACAGGCCTTTTTCGAAGGTAGCGGCTCGTGCAGACAAGATCGAAAAGCGATTCTCATTGCAGTAAGTGGCTCCTCCGTCCTGGCATGCAACTTCTGAATCAAGTCAAACAATCTAAACAAATACTAAAGTCTACAGCGACAGCATTTTGACCTTCAGGAGGACTAGACAGTTGGGATGCATTTGAGGAGTCTGAAGCCCAGCGGGGTAAATAATTTCCGTACAATAGGTCTCAGAAGTTATTGGAAGGACCATGGCAGCGCTATCAGGTAGTTGAAGGGAATCTGACCCAGGCTTCGCAAGATGTTCCTCCAGCACAACAAGCCCACGCGTCGGGAGTGGCCTGACGTTGCACGATGCAACGTGAAGAACAAAAAAGGTTTAGGGCTCTCGCAGCATTCGCAGCAAGGTCGCAAGGTCAGAGCCTGAGAGCTTCCACGGTCAGGCGGGCAACGTTTTGAAGAGATGCGACCTGTCATCCTTTGAGATTTTGCTTCAACTTCATGCGAAGGACTTGCGCAGTGGCAAGCGTGAGCTGCAAGACGCAAGCTATGGGCTCAGGCATCAATAGCTAGCCGCCTAGCTGGCCTTGCTGGCTTGCAACCAGGTATGGTCAGTTGGGAGATGTGGGCTTGTGCCATCAAGTAATGCGAGGAGATCGACAGGAGAGCCTGGCTCATGACATGCTGGATCATGCTCGAAGCTTCAGCAAGCAGTTTAAAGCCCCTACTTCTACACATTTCTAGACGTCTCTACTGTTGCTGAGCAAAAGGCAGGTGCCATGTGCAAGTGCTACTTCCTGAACTGCAGCTGGACTAGTCAGAGTACGAGCCCGGGCGCAGAAGCTTTTCGTCAGCTCGACATTTTGTGGTCCTGTTCTCGAGGAGGCAGGCATGTTCACACCTATCTTTTAAGTGCCTTTCACGCTAGACTTTGCCGCCAGAAGTCGCAGAGCAGGTGCCCCAAAATGGGTAAGCAAGGCACTACGGCGACTACGTGCTGCGTGCCATTGTGTGCCAAGCGCGTCGGGAGGCGTTACCGTCATCAAAGAGGCTGTCTCCAAAAACAAGTCATGTGTTACGGTTCTTGTGCAGTGTGCCAGTGGAGCTACAGACTCTGCACATACTGTGTGAAACATGCGTGTTGTGACTGCAGCGCATTGCGCAGTATGGGCAGCTTGTGGTGGCAGTAAGCTGTGCTGGTAGTGCTGGATGCGTTCCATTTGTGTACGGCTGTGCTCGGAAAAGGATCGCAGTTGCAGTGGGTAGCTTAAGCTTGTGCATGTTTCTAGGTTGGTGATGTTTCACATTATTCAGGCCGTTAGCCTCGCCACCAGTAGTGCGGCATGAGCAGTTTGTGTAGGCTACATTTCCCTAAACGCCTTAAGCCGATGTCTAATTGCAAAAGCTGAATATACAAGTCAGGCCCGACGGTGGCGAGCCTTGGTTTAGGGTTCAGGGGACACGGCTTTGGCAGCGCTCTTGGCAGTTGAGCGAGCTCAAGGACATGCTTCGAGTGTTGTGACATTGGCCTGCTTGCCCTGCAAAGCTGTCATTCACGATGCCTTCTGTTGCCTGGGCTTGTGGACAGACCCCAGCTGGTGCGATTGCCCACGTCCCTAGGCCCTAGATGTGCACCAGCAGCACATGCCAGTGTGTACTGCTGACTGGGTCGATCTGGGCCCTAGTAGCTGAGCCGACAGAACACGCCGATTGCCTTGCCGCGCTGCTGCTCTAGGACCCAAGATTCAACAGGGCTCTCAAAAGCAAGCCATCAATTCATTCATAGCGTTCTCATGCACTGCGTCGGCCAGCAGCATGTGAATGCAGCTGGTGCTATATGGTGCCTGGCTGAGCCTTTGAACGCTCGTGTTGCAGACGTGCAGCTATCCCCTCGTGTTGAGTCAGGCGCCCAAGAAGCGGAAGCTTCCCAGCACGCGGGCAAGGCTGGCTCATGCTGTCGAAAAGCCGTTTGACCACCGTGCCGTCATCAGCAGTCTCAAAACGCATGGAACAGGTCACAGCGTGTAGTGGAGCGGGACGTCCTGACGACATCTGCGCCGGCTCACATAAGGAATCACCGCTTACCAGCAGTCCAAGCGCTGTCAAGATATGCCGCATGATCTACTTGAATGTATTGATGAGAGTTGCAGGGAGCTTGTCTACACAGCTTTGCTGACATTCGGTGTGTCCAGCGCTGTGCAGATGTGGGCGGGAAAAGGCAGAGAAAGTATGTGGTGTCTGGGCCTCGGTGCAAGGGCCCTTTGTGCTGTGCTGCTTTGAAGATAAACATATAGCCGAGGCTTGCCTGCTTCCCATAGAACCGGATGCCCAGGCAGGCGTGCACCATGTGTACAGATGAAACGGTGAAGCAACTTTCCATCGCTGAATGCAGCTGGGCAGTTGGTCTGGGAAGGGTGCGGAGATGTCAGCTGTTCAGGTTTGCTGGTAGCGATTGCGGTGGTAGTAGTGATAGTGGCAGCAGCATCAGCAACAGGATAGGGAGATAGCAGCCGTAGTAGAAGCAGCAGAATAAGTAGAAAAACAGCAGTAGAAGAGGTGGAAATGGTAGCAGCAGCAGCAGCAGCAGCAGCAGCAGCAGCAGCAGCCATATTGTGTGAGAAGGGGATGCTGCACCATCTAAACGCGCAAATGAAAATCTCTCGAGATGCTGCAACTCGCAGTGTCTACGTTCTTTGCAAAGCTGCGAACGTTGTAATTTATATCTTACATCGGCAAACTCCCAAAATTCAGAGCTGGCGTGCTGTGATTTACGGCATCTGCAAGCGCTAAAGAATTCCCAACGCTGTCGTTTGCAGTATTTGCAAGCTCTAAAAAGCTTCAAATGTTGCGGTTCTGTCTGCAAACTCTACATGAGCTCCAAATGCGATAGTTTACAGTGCTCGCAAGTCTAGATGAACTCCCAATGCTGTAATTTAAAATCTGCAGCCTCTGCGCCAGACAGGATGTTGCAAAATGCATTACCCGTACTGAAACAATCCACGAGGATCAGAGGGTGCAAAAGCGACGATAACACGAGGATGGCGAGCCCGACCCCCATAGTCCTGGTGACTTTCGACATTTTTCAAAGACTGCGAGGATCCGAAGGTCCTTTGAGTGCGATCTCCGCAAGTCCTGTGATTGTTGACACTTGTCAAACTCCAAGAGGATCCAAGGGTCCAAAAGCGACGACAATTACGAGGATCGCGACCCCGACCCCCACAATTCACATTTGTAGTTAAAATCGAGCTCTAGCGTGGAGCGTCCTCACATTTGCCCTCCCAAAGGATAATAACAAAACAAACTCCCCAAACAAAAACAAAATCAATTCCTAAAATAATTCCGGACCCTTGCAGAAATGCCGCAGAGAAGAACAGCAATGGTTGCAGCGGAAGAGCCAGCAGGTATCCAAGCTTGAAAGAGTTGCCCCAGGTTGGAGCCATTGACAACTGCACACATCTTTTTCATCACGCATGCGTCGGGCTCACAGATCAGAGGCTTGCACGTTTCGGGAACTCTGCTTGCGCTTACGGTATCACGGCTCATGTCGGGTGTTGTCGTTGCATGGCAGGCTTTCTCCTGCCGACTGCAGGTGGAGAAGTGGTCCCAGACGGAGAACAGCTGCCCGCAGTGCAAGACCAGATTCTTCTGGCTGGTCAGCAGCCGATCTTTTACAGCTTCAGAGTTCGATTTGCTGGCTCGATGGGAAGTGCAAGCCTTGCAGGCAGCATACGATGAGCTGGGCAAGCGGACTGCTCTGACCAAAATCCAGAGCACAACACTCAGCGTATGCCGCGGTAAGTCAACGGGGCAGAGGGCGGGAAGAAGTGGAAAAGATAGCAAAGGTTCCGGACAACAGGCCTTTGCAATGTGGGGAGAACGGTGAGCGGTGTGTGCAGGAAGAGCATTGTCACATAATGTTACACTGAGGCAAGGACCAAGAAGAGCAGGCGGATGTTTATATGATTTATAGCTACTGGCCACTAGATGCAAGGAGGTCTGTGCCGGACATTTGTCACTTGTTGGTCATACCAGGGCAGAACTCCAGCTCTGAAGGAGGAGGAGGCCTTCGACGAAATTTCAGTTTGCGAACGATGCCGCGAGGTGGGGCTGCA